GCATTTTTGTATTAAGTCAGAAACCTTCAAATTTGATCTCGTCTTAACTCAGTGCTTTATCCTATATACTTGCTTTGTCTAGCACTTGTCTACTCTGTATCCCACATGCAAACGGGGCTTCGTATAGCTCTCTTTGGACATTTTTTCTTCTTGCCACTCTCCTATAAAGAGTAAATTTGTAGAATGCACGATTAATAGTTATCACATACTTATCCCACCTAACTACCTACCGATTTTCAATAGTTACCATTGAAACTTTTGGTTCCTTCTCTGTTTATTGATTTCTTTGTACGGCCTTTCAATATAAGGGAATATACTTGCCTTGATAGGTTTTTAGTTTTGCCATAATGTTTCCATTTTCGTATAATTAATTTAATAGTGCGTCATGAGATATTCAAATCATGGTTTATTTTTTCATAACAAAACCCTACATTTTACTTCTCCAAAAATTTATCCTTGGCTTGTTTTGGTGATAGCATTTGTCTTTATAATACTGTTTGTTTGATAATGTGCTTTTAAAAACATTTAAGTCATTCAAAGAACAGATATTTTTAACTGGAGAGTGCAGAATCTCGGATCGTGATTCCGTTCCTTTAAATAAATGAAATCTTCATAATGAACTGGCTTAATTTTTTTACTAATTTTATGACTTCAGAATAAAATGGTTTGAACTGGAATTTACTCAGAGTTTTCCAAGTAAAAGTTGTGGGTGAACACATATGCAATCAAAAGGTTTCATAATTTTATGTGTAAATATTTTTTTAAATCATTTAATATTCCGCTGCGCTTCAAATTGATGTATTATTTGGGGTTGATACATTATACAAAACCCCAATAAAAACATTTCATGTGTCGCTGGTAACATGACAAATTGTGGAATTTTTCAAAGGCTGAATACTTAAGCAAGGCGCACTGCATACTACATATTTCGCCATAAAATAGAGCCGGTATATTTATTTTTACACAAGATGCTTAAAATGCATCTTAGCACACGCGGCAGTTTGGATATCAGTTTAAATTTTACGTTTGAACCATACATCTCTCCCTTAGAAATCTGTCAATATTTTTTTTAATTAATTTTAATATAACTGCAATCCTGTTTGTTTCATTTTCACTCTGCTGCTGTTGAGAGAGACATGTCTCTACTAGTCTATGACCAGGAGGGACAAATTACTATTATTCCCACCCATCTTGCAAACTTCCCAAGATAAAATAGAATATCAAAAAAATAAAATAAAATAATTGAACATATCATGTTTATATATCTTCCAGATAACATATTTCAGATTGCTAATAATCAATTAGCAATCTGAAATATGTTATCTGGAAGTAAAGACGTAACTGGAAAGCAGAAACAAGAAATTTTGATGAAGGGATTCTAAGAAGTATTTGCCAGTTTTAATTTTAGTTTGAATTTTTTTTATGAATACCACGACTTTTACGAAGTTAAAACTTAAATCTTAACTTTCCCCACTTTTTTAATTGCAGTAGATTAACCTCCCTATCGCCCGGTTCACGTTCCTCTTTCATATCTTGAGCAGTAGATTTTCATCACTCGTTTCCTGTTTAGGAAAGTGTTTCCGTTTCTTTTCTTCTTCTGAGAAATTGATATCACCAAAAATGAATGACAGTCGCTGACATTCGTTTTTGGTGATGTGAGTAGATAGCGGCTACATCTCTTCATAATAAAGGGTAAAATTCCTGTGCGCGCATTTTCTTTTCTTTCTTTGTTTTTTTTTTTTGTTTGTTTTTCAGTGAGTCTTTGTTCGTATGTCGATGTTTGTATTAGATATGTTTTGATATATCATAGGGAAAAAATCTCAGTGTTGGCGAGCTAGTATTTGTTGATACAAACAATGTTGACCTGGAATCCATCATGACAAGCTGTCTGTCATTTTAAACCGTCTGAAGTTCACTTTAGGTTAGAAACTGTCAGACACTAGGTTCTAACTGGCCACGCATATGCACACACACAAACACACACATAGACACACATATGCAGGCACACAAACACATCCAAGCACACACACACACACATATGCAGGCATGCACACATGCAAACACACACAAGGATGTTTGAATGTATAATAAATGAATGTGCTTCTATTAAATTTACATTGTACTTTTTATATATGAACAAGTTATTCATTTGATGGACGTATGTGTACACATACTCCGAATAATTAGTCGTACTGACCCTATTCGGAGGTACGGAGGAGTAATGGATAACGACTCGGATTCAGGAATCGGAGGGCCGAGTTTTAATTCCGCTCGAACCCATTACATTAACTTACATGCTAATACCCTTAGGAAAGGTATGAATCCTCTTCTTTTCACCCCAGCTATGGTTAAATAGCAGAACAGGCACGATTCTATACACTTGGATGGCAACTGTTCTAACGCAGAAAGAAATGGCGGGAAAGAAAAAATCTTGCTCGTCAGTCATGTATTGTAAGATGCATAGTCGCCTAAGCGTGTATCACGTATGGCACATAGCAGAATGACTAGCTCTTTTCGCCTAATCTATGTGGTATTATTTTTATTATTTTTAGTTTGTACTATTTAAACTGTTATGCAAGTGCTATTGTAAATGTTGTGTAATTTGCTGAAAAGTAGACATAATTTCATTTCCCAAATACAAGCATTATATAGTTGCTCTGTCTTTATATTATGTTAAATGTTTCTATTTTCAGTTGGCATTTATGATAATGGCTTCAATTATTTTTAGACGCAAATTAGATGCAAGAACGCGTATTTGAATTTCCCGGAGTATTTTGCATATGGAATTTTGAAAGCTCTCAAGAATCAGATGAAGGCAAAATGTAGTATTTTTTAAAATTATTTCATCCCCAGCAAGGCATTAAAGCTATTAATACGCGGGGTTTGCAGAGATTGAAATAATATGAGAAAAGTAGAAATAGTATTAGGAAATGACAACAATAAAAGAACATGAATCAAGAAGACAGAATTTATTGATTGTCATTGCCATTAAATTACAGAAGATCAAACATGACGAATTCAAATGACTGAAAAAAATCCTTGATAATGAAACGAAGCTGTTAGCATAGAAATTACGGTTAGAACTAGCGATTACATTTGTAAAATGTATTGTTACGTTATTTGGCCTGGAGTTTCTAATCCTCTGTTTCCACGTAAATGAGAAATACTAACACTCTTCATGTATATGAAATATCGGATAAAAATAAGGATAGTTTTTAATTAAGTGATTTAAAATATTTTCTAAGCAATTGTTTTAAACCAATTTCTATTTTATTACGTTGACTCCATGGATGTAAACGTAGTACTAGATTGGAGGAGGGAGGGACGGTGGAGAAATGGATTGCGGCTCGGATTGATGAATCGGAAAACCGAGTTCGAATTCTAGTCGAATCCTTTACATTCACTTACTAATTCCAGTCGAATCCTTTGCATTCACTTATGTTGAGAAAGGTATGAATCCATTTCTCCCCATGAGCTATGGGTAAATAGCAGGATAATAACAACAGAAAATTGCAATATGAGCTCTGGTAAAAACATGCCATGATAACAGAAAAAAATTGTAATATGATCACTGGTAAAAAATGTTACTTGAAGACATTAGGTTTGTAATACCCAAAAATTCATAGACAGATGTCCTCAAGGACAAATGGCACAGTGGATAAAGGCGTTAGTTAGATCCAGTGATAGGAGTAGATCCAGTGATAGGAGTGTGAGTTCAATACAGGCAGTGGAGAACTTTCAGAGGGGAATTAACAGGAGATAACTGATAACTGTCATCCATTATGCATGGCACGTGGAACTAGAACAGTCTACCCCAGTGAGCGAAATAAAGGGTTTAGTTCGACATTCCAACCACCTGAAGAAGGCCGGAGCGTACAACGCCCGAAACGCAGTAATAAATATGGCGACAATGGAGGACAACAGTCCGAAAAATGTACATAGTGTACATAATACATCATCTCAGAAACATAGACAGATACTGAAGTATAGAGCGGATATTTTGGATGGCAACTGGTCTACCGCAGAAAGAAATGGCAACCTAGTGCGCGAAAAATCTGCCTCGTCAGTCATGTATGGAAAGATACATGATCCCCTAAGCGTATATCACGCATGGCACATAACGGACACATACATTGGCAGTACTATTCTAAAGTTTTCTTTTATTAGAAATCTCCCTTGTGGAAATCTATTCTGGCTTATTGTTTTCATGACACTTAAATTCAACGTGAATCTCCGTCTCATGCCTGACTGAATCTTTTTATTTTATTGTTCTTTTACCCCATTAACGTCTTCTAGGTTTGCTTAAACTAAAGGCGTTACTGAACAGAAAGATCAATAAGATAATTGATCTTTCTGTTCAGTAACGCCTTTCGTCTTTGCGTATTTATAGCCTTAATTTGGGGTGAGATGATATAAAAGTTTCAGCATTCAAATACTTTATGACAGCATTTTCAAAACACAAATGAAATCACTTAACTTGGTAACGCTACTTCACAAAACACTGAATGAGATTGTTTTTTTTTTCCATCAGGGCGCTAACCCAGGGCCAACAGTTTATGTGATGTTGTTCTACGTATTTGTCAATAAAACTGCACATTTATTCTTGAAATATATAGAACCATATCACCTGAAATCGTAAATCCTAGCAGGCTCCCTTATTGACCGTGAATCGGAATTGCATCAGACTTAACATCAACCTGTGCAGCTGTTGGGAAACACACAGCTTTTGGTTAGTAGGTTGTGTATTGTTCAGCTGCATGTCAATCTCTATGGGTTATTTAATGCCGAAATCTAATTATTTGCTGTACAGCATTTTATTTTTAATTTTTAGTTAATAATTGTTTCAGTGATATAATTCTTATTAATTAAACCATAGATTAGGGATAGGTAAATTTATACCTTTTCCAAATGTATTTCGGCGTAAGTGAATAGAACAAATCGATCTGGATTTAGAACTAGTTTCTCTGATTAACAGTCCCGAGCCATTATCTACTACACTAACCACACCTGGTATTTCTAAATGGTCACACATCAAGGTACTGGCCGATCTAGACGTTGCTTAACTTCGGTGATCGTACGGGAACCAATGTTTCAACTTGATATGGCCATAAGGCCACCGATTGTGTTCTGTCTGCTAAATGTCTACGCAATAGCGTAAAGGAATTGTTCAAACGTGCTTAATGTTAATTACCTGAATAATGAGGTACCTTAGTCATGAGAACGCGAGTACATCGTGGTATAATATAGTGATAAGTTTTACCATTTTTCTTGTAATAACTGGGTAACGCTTATTTCGGTAATATATTGAGTCACTACGATCCCTTCTTCAAACGAAGGTGTCTTTCAATCAAACGTAAATATCACAGAAGTCAGCGTCAATAAAACATTAATGAGGCAGGTTAATGAGGGAAGAACTCATCCTTTCAGATGAATTAATGAATGAAGCATATTAAAATATAATCGACAACATACAAATCGGGAAGTTCCATTTTGCACAGTCGCACAATTGGTGCCGTCTGGATGTGCCTTGAGTTGAAGTCAAATAATAGGACTAATTGATATCGCCTTTAATTAATTCCTTTCAGACGTCATCGGGCGCAGGCTACCTGGTTCCCATGACACATATTTTACTTCCAAGCCTAATTAACGCTGTTTTATTGCTATTTGTTAGTATCAATGTCGGAACGAAATCATTGAAGGTTTTTGATAGTGTTGCTGTTTAGAACATGCGATTTTATAAGTCGTTGCTTACGTACTTTGGCCTTCGAGCTATTCTCGGTTATATTGAAGATGTTGCCTTTTCTAAGATCAGTAAATTTACATATAGAATGAAGTATTAATATATATATATATATATATATATATATATATATATGATAAATTGTAATTAGTAGGTTTGCTACATATATTGTTGAAAATGCTCAATACCAGGAATAGAGTATGTGCAAATTTAAATCTAAACATGTGATCAACAGCAAGTAACAATAGAGTGTTTCATTAAACTGAGTGTCCCTGTATTGATCTCGACGTCCACTAATACACGTGTGTGTGTGTGTGCACGCGTGAGCGCGCGTCTGTGTGCGCGCACACGTTATTGCTCGCGCCACGTGTCACACAATCTTTTCATAAGAAAATCCTGATTGATTTTAAATCATTGTTATAATTCATGGAGAACATTATACCTTTCAACATTACTCAATGATATTATTGATGTAATCACCATCTTCTAGATTTTTCCTCTAATTTGTATAAGAGTCGTTCTCTTGTTTAATTTAAAATTTAATTTAAATCAAATTATTAAAATGGCAGAGGTGTTTTTTGCAAGAACAACTTGATCTGAACCCTGAGATGTATTTGATGCAGTAGTTGAATGATTAGGCAGATTTCACCATTGATATGACAGTTGAATTTTAACAAATATGTATTGTAAGGCTTTGCCTCCGATATATAAGTGACAATATATAGTTATAATGCATGCTATATTTAATGGTGAAAGTGCTAATTATCAGTTATAGAATGTATTTAAATATAAAAGTGGAAGTTGAATTCAACACCCACATACTACAGTCAGTTTAATGCTAGGCGCAACCCGTAGTCCATGTGCGTTGTGTTTTTGCACGACTTTTTATAAATACAAGACAATGATGTATTGTGGGTAGTTTAGTGCATTGTTATTTTGTGCTCATGATTTCTTTATTATTTATGTACTTTATTTATATATATGTAATTATTTTAATTGATTTTTTTGGTTTATTTATTTTCCTTTCTTCTTTAACTAGTTTTCTATTTTCATGTAGCATAGGAAAAATTTGATTTTGAGTTGGTATTTTTAGATGAGTTCCGATCTTTTATTTTGTAGTTTGTTTTCGTCTGGGAAGCCAATTATGACTATATTTTCTTCGAGGCAGAGTCTACTGTTTTTGAATTTATTGCTGTTAATTTTGGTGTGATTTGATTTTTGTTTATAATCTCACAGATGTGTCTAGAAACCATTGTGCTGTACGCGTATTTACTATTTGTAAAGGATAATTTGTGAGCATAGTTTCTTTGTTTCCAAATTATTTCAATTACTACTATGTGTATTTTTCTTCGTGGTATACTGATTTTAATGTGGCTTGGTATATTACATTGTCCTGCAAGGAATTGCCATTTAAAGGGCATCCTTTTTTTATTCTAGAGTAAAAGTTGGGTTTCATTTGTTCAGGTGGTTCGTTGTTTATTTTCCTGTTGTGCTTTTTTATTATTTGTTTCATGTCTTCGATGCAACTGTAGTTGATTTTCATTGTGTTTTGTTGAATATCTTGTGGAGTGTGCTTGATGCGAAAAAGCGTTTGTGTATGAGTTTAATGAATATTTTTCCGACGTCTGTTTTTATTTTTTTGTTGTATGGTGGTTTGAAATATGTTATTTCTTTCCTGTTAATATTTTTTATTGTATGGTGTGTATGTGAATGTTGCTATCAATCCACTATATTTTAGGGCTGCGTCATTGTTTTTCTTAGTTTCGTTGAATATAATTTCATTGGAAGAATTGTCGCAAACCTGCGGTTAATTGATTGAGTTAATGCTTGATTACTGATGGCGGGTGGCTGGAAGGTATGTATATATACAGTTGTTTATCTTTGGATTTTCTGAATGATTTATATTTAACTTTTCTTAGGTAGAAGGTGGTATCTAGAAAATCTACTTCGTTTAGCTTCTTTGTTATGCCTATGTCGAATCCCATAATTTTGAAAATCATTATGATTGTTTCTTTTTAGCTTTGCTTGTGTTTTGTTTGTTACAGTTTCTTAAGAATAAAAGAGCGTAATCACAGTAGTGTCCTATATCATGTCTATCAATTATTTTATATTAATTTGTGTAACAGATATATACTTATGAGTTTGTAGGTCGTACAATGTCAAAACATACCATTGTAGTATCAAATATTCCTTCTTTCTTTATCCATGCGTCTTCATTATCGAATAGTAGTGGTTTTAGCGGGTGTTTATTTAGTCCATGTTTTTTTTTTTTTCTTTTATTTTTTAAATTTTATTTGTTCTTGTGCTAAGATGGCCTTATCTAGCGTGGGTCCCGTTATGGCGTACATTTCTTTTAAATCTCGAATAAATTGGCAATTATATTTGTTTGCCTATGTTTCTGAACCAGTCCATAATTGTTTTTGTTTTTTTATGAATTTTCACTGATTTACTCCTAACTTCTTCCTTAGCTCTGAATTATTTTTTTATAGAATTTTTAGTTATTTTACATAGCTCATCTATGGTAGAGTTTATGAGGCTGTATGTTGGGTTTGTTCTGAAATTATCCTTGTGGTATTTTAATGTGATAAATGTATGTTTTATCTTCCTTATTTATATCCTGTTCTGTTCTGGGTGATTTTTTTTTGTATGTTTTAGCTATATTGTCCTTGATTAAGTTGTTGTTTTTAAGGTAGCTTAGTTCCTTTAAATTTCTACTTTTGTACCCTGAGATAAATAAGTTACTTGCATTGCTTATTTTTTCATAATTATATTCATTTTCTGAAAGACATATTTTTGTTAAAAAACATTATGTTTCCTATTATGTTAGTCAAGTCTTTCTAGAAGACAGCTAGTACATTGTGATGCGGGGTGAAGGTATTTCTTTTTAAAGACTTGTGTTTCATTGCCTGTTTCATTTATGTTTAGTTTCTTAATGTCTTATCTTTAAAAGAGTTGTGCTTTCCGTCTAATTCTTTTAATGAAGCTTTCTCTTTTTCTATCATTTTTAGCTTGTATGTAGAGGGTGATGGGCTGGTTTTGTTATTTAGGAAGAGTCGTGGCTAAACTTTTCTATGTCCATGATAGGTTAGAAATATAGCGAAAGTCCTGGATTATTTATCACGAGCTAAATATGATAAAACATAGTTTTAGAATATACTATATTTATGTGTGAAAATGCTCAATATCATGGATAGAGCGTTTTTAAATACAAATATGGACATTGAAGTCAACTCCCATAGGTGAAATTCTGTATCATACTAAACACAATCATCAGGAAAACGCTTTGTCTTTTTGCTCGATATTTTATATATACAGGTCAGTGATGCATTGTGGGTAGTTTGTGCATTGTGGGTAGTCTATTGTATTAATCTAACGGCTATTTTGGTTAGCGTGGTTTATCAATATCTTTACATATTTTACTCATAAAAAATGCCTCATCCACTCGTAAAAAAGATTAAAACTGATGGAAGTCCCAATGGTAAAAAAGGAAAAGAAAACACCCAATAACATTACCTAAGATCACGGCTAGAATATGCTGGCTGCGTTTGGAAAATAAAATATTTCTCTAGCATTAAACACATACACATTTATTTAAAAATAAACATCGCCCTTGATAATCGCTAAAATAATAGCCGAAATAGCTCGGATATGCAGAATTTTTGGACAGTTTGTACACACTTTGTGTCCAGAAAAGAAAATACTTGCCCGAAGTAGAGAAAAATTAAATGAAACATCTAACATATCAGTCGCTTTAACGAAACATGTATAAAAGAGGGATTGCTGCCTAAGTGCGCAGTTATATATATGTGTGTTCGTGTGTGTGTTTGCGTGTGTGTATGTGTGTGTGAGAGATTAATATATATATATATATATATATATATATATATATATATATATATATATATATATGTTGACCATAACCTCATGTAAATAGTCTCTTTTCCTCTGTGTGACAGGCTTTTTAGGATGTGGGCGAATATGGTTCTCCAAAGGTTTTCGACATTTATTTTTCAGCAATTGTTATTGTCCACCATTTTTCAGCTTTACTTTCTTGTTTATTCGACGCAAAATTTCAGATCTTTCCTTCTGACCTTTAGCTTTTTTAAGTAATTCTTATTCACCTAAATCCTTTTTAATTTGTTGTATCCCGTTTACATGTCCTTCTCAATAAACCGGATTTGAATCAAATCTCTGTCTATTTAAGCGTTTCAATAATTAAGGCAGGTCGTTGAACATTTTCTGGCTTACAAAAGAATCGATTTAACATAGAAGCCCAACATTATTTTTTCCTTGACAATATTAGTTTAATGTAACGTTGGTTTATTAAACTTACCTATCATCTGATGTTATTTTCATGTTAGCGAACAGAT